TGCTCTGTTTTCCAGTGCTTGGTGTGGGCGATGGGTTTGTTTTATGGGGGGAAAGGTTGGGTACTTTTTGGTGGTTTGGGGGGGGGGGGGGAATTTGGTCCTCCCTCCCCCCCCCCCCCAGGGTAAAGGGGCGGGGGGGGGGGGGGGGGGGGGGAGAGACGGGGAGATTATTGTTCCAGTTTGACGGTAAAGAGCACACAGAATCGCACAGAAAGGACACTGAAACAAGACTTATGTTATGGATAGGTAATGGTACGGGTCGACGAAATGAAGCTCTTCTCCTTGCTCCCCATCTCCCTTATGAATCCCCCCCCCCTCCTCCCCCCCCCCCCTCCTCCTCCTCCAAGCCCCATACCCTGGCAACGGCAAACATGTACATCATCGTGTCTCTCGATCATCATCTCTCACATCCCTCCCGTACAATAGACTTCGTGCCAACTTCACGAGTACCCCACACCGTCATCCCCACTAACCGTGAAAAAAATGGTATTCTCAGTGGTATCTCGCCTGCGACGGTAGTACTCGTCGCACGCCTGCACCGTCCCCCTGTCCTCGGCGTCAGTCAAGCATGCATGCCAAACTCGCTCAAAGGTGCATGGCTGTAGTGTGGCTGGTGGCAGTCGTTGTGGCTGTGGTGGCTGTGGTGGTGGTCGTCGTCTGCCCACCTGCTGTGGTGGGGAATGACCTTGTCTACATTCGGCCTTTGGAGATCGCAATATCGAGCCACGATACGCCCTATAATCCCTGGAAGGTGAAGGCGGCGGACATGGACAACGATGGCGATTTGGACATTATCACGGCCTCGTACTCGAATATCTTATATGGCGGTGGTGTGAGAATTGACTCTAACAACTACAACGGCAGCTTCACCATGGTCTATTTTGATCCGCATCGCTTTCCGCGCAGCGTCGACTGCGCCGACATGAACGGAGACGGCTGGACTGACATAGTGTTTGCCAGCTTCGACGATCTATTGCTGCGTCTCGCAGTGCCGGACAAGCCGTTCGAGTTTCATCCGATTGTCACCGTCCAGGCTGTGACCCAGTCTCAAGTCATCATCATTGCGGACATGAACAGTGACGGCTGGCCCGACATCGTCACTTGGGAGAAGGTAGCAACTGAAGACGTGCTTGTCTTTCTCAACTTTCTCAACACGACTTCCACCTTTGACCGCCTTGTTCTCCGCAGCGATCCAGGCTTCACACCGCTCGTAGCGGACATTGCCGTCGACGACATGGACAGAGACGGGGCGTTGGATGTTGTCGTCACCACAAGCACCGCCGTCTACTGGATTCGCAACATGCATGGCAACGAAACAATGTTTTCTGACCCGATTTTGATCGGGAACTGCCCTCGAAACGTGTACTCGGTCGACGTAGGCGACGTGACCGGCGACGGCATGCCCGACGTCGCTGCTATTAGCTACCAGGGCAACGTTGCTGTTGTTTTTGCCAACAACGGGAGCAGTTCGTTTGACGTTCTCGCGGAAGTCTCTGCGTATCGCGGATTCACGATTGTGTTGGCCGACGTCAATCTGGACGGCAACGTCGACGTCACATACTCTTCTTATCTCGGCGACGCGGTCATGTGGTGCAACAACCGGTTCGGCAACGGCACGTTTGACGACTGCGTCGGAAGCCAAGTCATTCTTTCCAATGTGCGCTCCCACACAGTTGCCGACATTGATGGCTACGGCATGCTCGACATTGTCGGACTCTCGCCGTCCCTGGGCACGTATTGGTTGCCTGCCACACCAGTCTATGGGCCGTTGTCATCGCTCGAGTCCAATGTCACCACACTCACCGGCTTTACCCACGAAGACACCGTGCTCAGCCTCGGGCTTCGCGACGTTGTCGGCGACCCGCTCAGCGGGCTTGTCTCTCCAGGTCTCGTCGACATCGGCCTCCGGTTTGGCGAGGAGATGTGGGAGGTGACCGACAAGTGGATAGTGCCTCGTGGCACGTACATTGATGGTCCTGCCCTGCAGTTTACTGTCAATGTCGCTGAGCCGGGCTCGTACACCATCACCATGTCGGTCTACGGCGAGCCTGTCGCCAACTCACCGTCTGTCTTTCTTGCAGCGCAGCTGTGTGAGCCTGGCGAGCACGTCAAGGACAACATTCTTTGCGTGCCGTGTGAGAAGGACACGTTTTCCGAGGAGTATGCCGTTGCGGCGTGCGAGCCGTGCCCTCTGCAAATGACATCGCCGGCCGGCTCCGACTCGTACCTCAACTGCATCTGTACGCCGGGCTACTGGTTCGGTATCGCGCCGCGCGCCCCCGGGCGTTTGTGCGAGCTGTGCCCGGCCGGCGGTGTATGTGCCGGTGGTGATGCTGTCCCGGTTGCTGCCGAGGGCTTTTTCGAGGTCTCGCCCGGCTCTGCCCAGTTTGTCGAGTGCCCGCGGGAGGGCTCATGCGCCGGGGCCAACCGGTGCCAGTCGGGCTACACCGGGTACCTCTGCGCCACCTGCTCGTCCGGTTACTACTCTGCAACAGCAGTGCGATGCCGGGCGTGTCCAAAGCTGCCACTCATTCTGTTTGCATCAACATGTGCTGGCCTGGGCCTTGTCGCCGTCGTTGTCGCCATTATCATCTCGTGGTCGGTTGCCCGGTCGGTAGCCGCCACGCCGTCGTATGAGATGACAGCTGGGATGCTGGTCTCGGCCGAGCGCATCCGCCAGTTCCGCACCAACCTTGTGCCGACCTCAGTCTCGATGGTCCTTGTTGCCTTTCAGATTGTGGCCATGATCGCACAGCTTGACTTTTCTTGGACTCGCGAGTCGCAAGCCGTTCTGAACGCCTTTCTTGTTGTCAACATCGACACCTCGCTGTTTGCCTCCGAGTGCGCCGTCTCTACGTTTCACGCCAAGTACGTCATTTCTCTCCTCCTCCCGCTTGTTCTTCTCATCCTTGTCGCGGTCGTACTTGTTCTCCTGCGCGCTATGCCGCGTCTTATCTCGTTTGCGAGTCACTTGGTCCAGGTCCCGAACCGGGTCCTTGTCGACGCGGCCGTCTTTGTCACCTCGCCGCTGCTGTACATTCCTGTCTCGCGGGCGGCGCTAGTCCTCTTTGGCTGTGTCCGGCAGAGCAACGGCAAGTGGGTCCTCACCATCGACCGTGGCGTCGAGTGCTTCGACCAGGCCTGGTGGCGCGTGGCACCGTTTGGCCTCTTTGTCGTCGGCGTCTTTGTCATCGGCATTCCTGTGTACTTTGGACTCTCGCTCTTCAAGCACCGGACCTTGCTCTTTGAGGCGCACAACCTGGTGCGCTTTGGCCCGCTCCACCGACTGTATCGGCGCCACTACTACTGGGGCGAGGTGGCAAATTTGGCCAAGCGGCTTGGACTCGTCATGGTCGCCGTCTTTCTCACCGGTGCGCAGCTGCTGCAGCTCGCCATCCTCGTCGTCATCCTCGTCATGTCTGTCGTCATCGTCTCACGGTACAGCCCGTACTACTACCCGCTGTACAACACTGTCGACCTTCGGCTGGGCTGCGCGGTGCTCGGCCTCGTTATGGTTGCTGTCGCCTCGTACTCTGAGCGACGCAACACTCGATTCCACCCTCACCTCCTCGCTGCTACCATTGTCTTTACTGTCGTCCTCCTTGCCGTCTCTCTCCACGCCATCTTTATCGACGTCCAGCATCTGTACAAGACTCGCCAGATAGACGGCTACGCTGTGTCTGAGCGCCAGCGTCACATGCGTGTTGTGCTTGAGACAGAGCTGCTCGACATGGAGGCATCTGCCGCTGTCCGCGCCGCCGCGGACGCCTTTCTCATGGCCATGGAGGCTGAGTCTGTTGCCAACGATGTTCTCCTGGGCGACATCAAGATGGACGAGATCGCCGTCAACCTTGACGATGCCGAAGCGACACCCGCCATGCGTGCTGCTGCCGACGATGCCCTGGCTGCTCTTGAAGCGTGAACCCATTGTAAAACCTGATGTGGCGTGGCGGGTGAGTGACATGGAGCAACGCGAGGAGTGGCATCCGCGCGAGTGGCATCCGCGCGAGCGTCGGCTGGGCGAACATACACCACCACAACTTGGTTCAAGAACAACGCACTTCTGCCCGGCGGCAAGGACACAGCTCTCCCATTCACCTCGCTTCCGCAGCCCTCCTCCCTCCTCCCCACACACTAGGCATGGATCCAGGCCATGCCTTTCACCTGGACATGCAGCGGGCCATTGTGGCCTCCCTGGCGAGCATAGCACCTCCTCCGCGGGCTGCACCAGCACCTGCTCGGGCGACAGCGGGTCGGGCGGCTGGCCGCACCAGTGCGCCGCGGGCTTCGCACACTCCTCTATTGCCACGACTGCGAGCGGCGGGCGGATCTTCATCTTCGCGGGCGGCGGCAGGCACAGGGCCGCGACTGGGGCGGCGCAATCAGCTGGCGCGCGAGGGCATCTTGCCACGGTCCACGTCTGGTCCGGGCTCGTCGGGTCCGACATCGGCGCCAAAGTCGGCGTCGCCGGTGCGGACAAGTGCAAGCGGCCGATCGGCGGGCCGACGGGCTGGCGATGGCCGTGGGCGAGCAAGCACAGTCTCGCCATCGGCGCTGAGTCAGCGGCGGCGGCGCAAGGAGCGGGCGCGCTGTGGCGGCGACGGCGGCGGCGACGACAGCGGCGTATGGATCGACAAGACTGGAAAGGGCATGATGCGGCGGCGCGGGCGAGTGTGGTGCCTCGACTCGACCATTTCGATGTTCTACGGCGTGGTGTATACGCCGTCGGTGGCGTCTCGGCCGGTGGCCAAGTCGCGGTACTCGTTCTCGCTCACCGCGATTGTGTCCAAGGTCAACCGCGCCGATCCACAGACGCTGTACATTGTGCTCAAGTGGGGAACAGGCAAGGGCCTCAACTGCGTGGCGCTCGCTGTGTCGACAGCCAAGTACCTTTGGTCGGCGCTGCAGTTTGTCAACTCGCAAAAACGCTCATCGCCAAGCGGGCTGACCGCAGGCTCAAGCCGAACATCCCCATCGACATCACCATCGACGTTGACGGCTCGCATGTTTCACTCTACGGCAACTCAGTGTGCATTTTTGACAGCCTCGATCTCTCCCATTGCACCGACGCACTTGACGGGCCCATCGGCCTCGGCATCTACCGCGGCCTGGTCTCGATCAACAGCATTGCGCTCGTTCCGTTGGTCGACTCGCCGTTTGCTGGTACCGGGGGCCATGTACACGGCTTGGCTCGAGGCAAGCACAAGAGCAAGCGCAAGGGTAAGGGCAAGACCGACGCGTCGGCGGGCGGCGATGAGCCGAGCGCGGCCTCTCCGCCGCTGGCCCGCCGCGGCAATCAGCCGTTCCTCACCGGGCCAACCATCACTGGCGCAACCAAGAGCCCGGGCGGGCCGAGTTCGGTCTCGCCGTCCAAGGTGCGAGCGAGCCACTCCCGACGGCTTGACTCGCCTGTCCGGCGGCAGCCGCCGCGTCGCATAGACAGCAGCTCTAGTTCGGCAGACTCGCTGACATCGAGCTCATCGTCGAGACCGCGACGGCCGACGAGGCGGACGCACAAGGCTTACGGCTCGAGCGCAGGCTCGTCGAGCTCATCGAGCTCGTCGTCGAGCGAACCTGTCCGGCCAGTGGAACGCTACCAGGCGCCGATTCCGACGGACGCGCCGCTGGTGGAGATGATCGAGACGTACATGCTCGAGGACGACCCGAATGTGAGCTGGGACGACATCGCCGGGCTCGACGAGGCCAAGCGAGTGCTCCAGGAGGCTGTCGTCCTTCCGCAGATGCTGCCCGAGTACTTCACCGGCATCCGCCGGCCGTGGAAGGGGTGCTCCTCCACGGCCCACCCGGGACGGGCAAGACAATGGTGGCGCGGGCGGTGGCGTCCGAGTGCGAGACGACGTTTTTCAACGTCTCGTCGTCGACGCTCACCTCCAAGTGGCGCGGCGAGTCAGAGCGGCTGGTGCGGGTGCTGTTCGACATGGCGCGTCACTATGCGCCATCGACCATCTTTATCGACGAGATCGACTCGATTGCGTCCAAGCGCGGTGGGCAGGGCGAGCACGAGGCGTCGCGGCGGGTCAAGTCGGAGCTCCTGGTCCAAATGGACGGGGTGAACACAGCCGTGGCCGAAGCCGCTGCGTCGGCAGAGGGCAGCAGCGGGCCGATGAAGCTTGTTACCGTCCTCGCTGCCACCAACTACCCGTGGGCACTCGACGACGCCATGCGAAGGCGGCTAGAGAAGCGGATTTACATCCCGCTGCCGAACTTGGAGGCCCGGCAGCGGCTGCTGACCATCAACCTTCAGTCGGTGGTGTACGACGAGGCGGCGCTGGACCTTTGCGAGCTTGCACGACGGATGGACGGCTACTCGGGCGCCGACATCACCAGCGTCTGCCGCGACGCTGCGCTCAACAAGCTTCGAAAACGCATCAAGGGCCTTTCGCCGAAGCAGATCCGCAAGCTCAAGTCCGAGGATGTTGACGAGCCAGTGACCATGGACGACTTTGACACGGCGCTCGCCAACGTCTCGGCTTCAGTCAACCGCAACGAGATCGCCCGCTTTGAGGCCTGGCACGCCGAGTTTGGCTCGGAGTAGTCGCGGCGTAGCCGAGCCTTCGACGCTTCGATGGTTTATCCGCAGCCATCACCATCACGCTGGAGTCAGGTAGGCTGGCAAGCAGCGGCTGTCTTGGGCCACCATCGCAAAGACTGCCGACCACAACGAGCCACCCAGCAGGACAGCAAACGCGATCAACCATACCCAGCCCATGCACCCCGCTCACTACGCCAGGGCAAACAAAAAAGATGAACCTCTTGGACAAGTCCAGTATTTTTCTCCATATTGACGGCAATGTGTGTGCGTTTGATGAGGGGAGGGCAGGGAATGGGCCCGGAAAAAAGGCCCGAAAAAGTTCCCCGTCGCCTTTCCCCTCCTGTAGATTCTTCGCTGGCCACCGCTCTCGCACCCTCTGCCCCCCCTTGGCGACCGGCCCTACCCTCACTACTGCACGAGTCTGGCAAGCGACGACACTGTAGTACGCCTTTGGACACCATGGACATCTTCCCCGCCCCTAGTATTTTCCGCGCCTTCCGTAAGCCTGCCCATGGCCCTGTGACTGCCGTCTCGGTCGGTGGCGGCAGCGCGTCGTCGCCGTCGCCGGCTGCTGCCGCTGCGGCAGCTGCCAAGGCCGGCCTCCCGCTCCGCCCGCTGCTGGGCGAAGCAGGCAGCGGCGGGTGCAAGGATGGGACGGCTGGCGAGGCTCTGCTCCGACCGGGCTGCCCTGAGACTGCCCCACCGCAGGCACTGGCGCTTGCCGTGGGCCGGCCCGGCTGCCGCCTCGGCTCGCCGCCGCCGCCGTCGCGACCGTCGTCGGTTTTTTCGCCCAGCGCTTCGCCGCGGGCGACCTCTCCCGGTGCATCGGCGGCACCGCGTCCGGCACGGACTATCTCGCGGGTTCCTTCGGCGTCGCTGCGAGACGCCCGCGGCATGTCTGGTCCTCTGGGCACGCTTTCTGTCGCCACATCTGCAGCGCCGATGCCGGCGGCTGCTGGCGGCGTGTCGGCCGCACCGACGCCGTCGGCTGGCGGGATGCCGCTGCTGGCCTCGCTGCCGGCGATGCCGCTGGCGACCACGTCGCTGGCAACCACGCCGCGCCCGTCGACGCCGGCTCCGATGGCGGTCGCCGCCTTGGCTGCCGCTGAGCCTGCTGCCTCTGCTGCTGTCTCACTGATGGACCGGCTCGAGGCGCAGCGCGTCCGCATCGAAGCCGAGAACGCCGAGCTCAACTCGGAGGTGGAGGATCTGACTCGACTGCTCGAGCTTCAGGAGGCTGCACGCGACTCGCAGGAGACGCGACTGTCGCAGCTCTCGTCAGCGTCGCGGGCGCGGTCGGAGCTGCGCAGTGACGGCGTGACTGCGCCGCCGCCGGTCGAGATGGGCTCGCGCAAGCGGCGCCGGGCGCTTTTGAGTGCCAGAACGAGTGCGATGACTCGCCTTGCGCGTCTCCAAGCCAGCTCGCGTCGGCAGACACCCCACTGACCGCCATGGCGCTCGCCGCCAAGCTCCGTGCCGCCTCGGACGCTCTCTGGGTCGACGTCTTCAATGGCACGACCAAGCCGTTTGCCGAGCGCGGCTCGGTCTGCGTCTTTATCGACTCGCCGCCGCACAAGCGCCACAAGCCGCTGCCGTCACCACTCCGATGAGCCGCGTGCACACGATCACGCGTCGTGGCATGTGTGGACTTTGCAGCGGTGAGGCGGTTGTTGGCGCTGCGGTATGTAGCGCCCCCTCCTCGCCGCCGGCCTCTCCGGTATGGTGGCGATGTTCAAGTGAACGACGATGATGTTTCGCAAGAGATGCAGATTGCCAGCAGCAACAGGTGTGTGGAAAGGGAGAGAGGGAACAATGACAAAGGCTCAAAGAGGGCTTTAGCGGCGCTCGTCCTGCTGGACACGCTTGGCCTTGACCGGGCGCGAGAGGAAGTCCGAGAACTCGTCAAACGGCACAGCGGTAAAGTAGGTCGGGGCCCAGAGCTCCGGGGTGAGGACACCGTAGGTCTTGGTGACGGCCGAGAAGGTGGCCTTGAGGAAGTTGCCCATGGTCGCGGTCTGGCCGGACGACGAGGTGTAGACATCCTTGACACCCGCCATCTGGAGAAGCTTCTTGGGCGCGCGGGCGGCGACGACGCCGGTACCACGCGGGGCCGGGATGAGACGAACACGGACGGAACCGCACTTGCCGGTGACCTTGACGGGCACGGTGTGGGGCTGGCCCATAGTGGAACCCCAGTAGCCACGGCGGATCGGGAGGACGTTGAGCTTGGCCTGGATGAGGGCACCGCGAATGGCGAGGGCAACCTCCTTGGAGCACTTGACGCCAAGGCCGAGGTGGCCGTTCGAGTCACCGACAAGGACAAAGGCCTTGAAGCGGGTGCGCTGACCGGCGGTGGTCTGCTTCTGGACGGGCTTGATCTGCATGACCTCGTCCTTGAGCGCCGAGCCGAGGAAGCGGTCGACGATCTCGGCCTCCTTGATCGGGATGGAGAAGAGGTAGATGTCCTCAATCGAGTTGATCTTGCCAGCCTTCACCAGACGGCCGAGCTTGGTCACGGGAACCCACTCGGTCTTGTCGCGGTCGCCACGGCGGCCACCACGGCCACGGCCACGGCCACGGCCACGGCCGCGCTCGCCGAAGCCACCACGGAAGCCACCTACATTCGCTCGTCAGAGAGAAAGAGAGTGAGTGTATGTGGGGGGGAGGGGGGGGGAGGGGGGGGGGGGCGGTGCGAGTCGCAAATCATACAAAATCATCACATCCGTCTGGGAGAAGGAGGGTAGGAGCTAGGAAGGTGGTGGTGGGCATTGCAGATGGGGAGGGGGGTGGGGGGGGGGGGGGGAGAATAGAGGGTATGCAGGGGAGGGCGGGTAGTGGAATTGTGGGTGCTCGGGAGGTACGTACCCTCACCACCAGCGGGGGCCGGAGCGTTGTTGTTGTCAGCCATTGTTTGTCCTTTTTGCTAAAAGCCGTAAAGTGTGCTTTGGAATCAATGGTTGCCTTCCGTTCATTGTTCAACCATGGTCAATGACTGTCATTCGCATTGGTTGGTCGGTTGGTCGGTTGGTCGGTTGGTCGGTTGGTCGACGGGTTGGGTGGGTGGGTGGTGGTGGCATGCTGCTGGTTGTCTGCTGCCGGTTGGCCGATGGCTACAATCGGCCACGTTTGCGCTTCTTGGCGGCGGCTGCCGATTGCATGTGGACAGCGGCGATGAGGTCGGCGGTCGATGGGAGCTTGTCCTTCTTCTTCTTCTTCTTCTTCTTCTTGGCCTTGTCCTTGCCTTTCACCCCGGTCTCGAGCAGCGGAGCGGCAGAAGACGGCGGCGGCGGGGCGGAAGAGGGCGGCGGCGGCGGAGCGATCCCACCTGTGGGAGTCGGTGCCGAGTGGCGGCGCTGTGAGACGACACCAATGGCGACCGACGCGGCGCGTGACCGCGGCGGGGCGGATACGGCCGACGACGGTGCGCGCGAGAGGGCGCGCGAGAGCCGCATCTCCTCCTCCATGTCGGCCTTGCGCGAGGCGAGCTCACGTGCGCGCGAGGCGCGCGAGCCGATGCCATCTTTGACGGCGTAGAACGCCGAGCCAAACTCGGCGAGCCAGTGCGGATCGACGGCGGTCACCACCCGCATGTACTCCTTCGAGGTGAGGACGAGTTCGTGGTAGACGACGTAGTCGGCCGAGTAGCCGAGCCCGATGAGCGCCGACGACGGATGTAGGTGGCACGGCATGGCAGTGAGGAGATTGACATATTCGTCGATGCCCTTGATCCGGGCCGCCTTTTCAAACATGGCGCCGGCGATGGTCTTGCGGACCACATCCCAGTCAGAGCCACACGAGATGACCGGCAGCCGCTGCGACTTCATGATGTCCAGCAGCTGGGCGCGGACTTCGCGGACCCGGATGAGGGCCTTCATCTGCACAAAGTGCTTGGTGCACCATGCACTCGAGCACTTGTTCGCTGTCCACTGCTGGTAGACGTGGAGGAGGGTGAGATGGTCCGACTCGGCGACGTTGAACTTTTCGCGCGCCGCGTTGGCCTCGGTCTCGCGCGACTTGGGCCGCGCAAACACGTTGGGCACCGAGAGCATGGCAGTGATGATGACCACTTCAGCCGAGCACCCCAGCTCTGCCGAGAGCACAAGCATCTTGGAGAGCTGCGGATCGAGCGGAAACTCGACCATGAGCCGCCCAGTCGCCGTCAGCTCACCCACGTTGTCGAGCGCGCCAAGGACCCAGAGCTGGTACATCGACGAGAGAATGGTGTCCTCCGGCGGCGGATCCATAAAGTTAAATTGCATCAGCTCGTCAACGCCGAGCGACTTGAGCAAGAGCACCACGTTGCCGAGATTGGTCCGCTGGATCTCGGGAATGCCAGTCGACAGCATCTCGAGCTCGTACTGCGACCGGGTGTAGAGCCGATACGCCGTGCCCGGCCCGGTTCGCCCGGCACGCCCCGACCGCTGGTTCGCGTTGGCTTGCGAGATTGGCGTGACCAGCAGCGCATCCATGCCGATTCGCGGGTTGAACGCCTTGGTCTTGCAGTAGCCACAGTCGACAACATAAACAATGCCGTCGACCGTCAGCGAGGTCTCGGCAATGTTTGTTGCCACCACGCATTTGCGGAAGCCCGGCGGCGCTGCCTCGAACACCCGCGACTGCATGTCCGCAGGGAGCTGCGAGTAGATGGGCAGCATGAGGAGCGGCGCCGGCGTGTCGAGCTCGTCAAGCTTCTCCATCGCCAGCTGGCAAACGGCTTCCACCTCGGCTTGTCCCGTCATAAACACCAGGATGTCGCCGACAGGCTGCGAGAGGTGGATCCGCAGAATCTGGTTGACGGCCGCGTCAACGTAGTCCTCCTGTACTGTTTTGGAGAAGAGGACGTCGACCGGATACGTCCGCCCAGGAATGGAAAAGATGGGCACGCCACCAAAGAACGCAGAGAACTTGTCGGCGTCCATCGTTGCAGACGTCACAATGACTTTGAGATCCAGCCGCTGCGCGAGAACCCGGTGGAGGAGGCCGAACAGGACGTCGGTGTTGAGCGACCGCTCGTGCGCCTCATCAAGCACCAGGACCGAGTATCCGTCGAGCGCCGAGTCGCGCAGCGACTCGCGAAGCAGCATGCCGTCGGTCATGTACTTGATCCGTGTCGTCGGCGATGTCATGTCCTCGAACCGGATCGAGTACCCAACCTCGGCGCCAAGCGGGACGCCGACCTCTTCGGCCACACGCTTTGCCACAGACATGGCTGCCACTCGCCGCGGCTGGGTGCACCCGATCTTGAGACCGCCTGCGGCATACCCGTCCTCGTACAGATACTGCGGAAGCTGAGCGTTTTGCCGGACCCGGTCTCGCCGATGATGACAACGACCCGGTTCTCGCGGATGACCTGGAGCAGCTTGTCGCGGACGGTGTAGATCGGCAGCGACTTGCGGGTAGCAGCCAGACTCTCCGACGCCGTCGCCCGCTCACCGGCTGTTGATGTCTTGCCTGCGCCGTACTGTGATGCGGCGCGGGTGTCGCCCGACTGGGCGGCGGCCTCGAGCGCGGACTCCTCGGCCCGCTTCTGCGCGCGGAGCTGGCGCTGAATCGCCGACAGCCGTGCGTCGTCCTGCGCGTTCTCTTCCGCCGCCGAGACCCGCATCAGCTTCCCGAGCTGGGTCCCGGCAAGCTTCCAGTATTGGCCCTCGGCCTTCAGTCGCTCTGCGCGGGCTCGGAACTCGCGGAGCGCCGCCGAGCCCTTGCGCGCAATGACAGCCATGTCCGACGTCGGATCCTTAACACACGACACCATGGAGCTCTGCTTGGTGTACTTGATGCGGCCGTCGAGGAACGGCGGGACCGAGAGCGTGACAAGCATGTGGACCCGGAGGTGCGACTCATCGTCGTCGCCGGCCAGCAGCGTCCGCACCTTGCGCACGCCCTTGACTCCCGACGACGCCATCCGGTCGCGCTCCCACTTGTCGAGCGCCGAGGTGTACGCAGCTTGCTTGGCCGTCAGCGACCCAACTTGCTGCTTGGCGAGGTGTGCGCCCGCCTCCATCCGCGCCTCGGGCGCCGCCTCTGCCGCTACGACCCACGGGTCCGCGTCGGGGTCATACACTCCGCCATCGTCGTTGTACCACTCGCGGTCGCCCTCGCGCTCAAGTACCTCAGCCTCGACGTCTTCCATCGACGCCGCTGGCGCCGGCGCGCTGCTTGCCGCGCTCCTTGGCCTGATCCTGCTCGCGTCGCCACGACTCCCACGCTGCTCATTGCCAAACGATAGCAACCGCGCATCCGCAGGCGCCACGCCGCTCTTGGCCCGCTTCCGCTCGCCTGCTGCACCTCCCTCCGGACTGCGGCGTCGTTTGAGGCCCATCCCGGCTGGCTGGCGGCGGCTGCCCTGACCAATCTCGTCAAGCATCTCCTGGGCGGTCTCGGTGGAGACCTTGCCAAACTCGGACAGACCTACGCGAGCACACCCGGATGAGCACCATGCCTTTTTCCTCTCCTCCTCCCCTTCTTCCCTCCTCCCACACCCGTCAACGTACGTGCTACCAGGTCGTCCGCCGAGGAGGCAGCCCGTGCGGCGGCGAGAGCAGCGGCGCCAACACGAGCGTCTGTCGTCGGCATGTTGAGCTCATTACCCATCCACAAGGCAAACGTCTCTGCCACTCGCTCATCGCCCATCTTCCCACTCCTCTCCACACTGTTGTGTTGAGCAGCACCAGTCAGCGCGCGTCAAGTGTCCAACAACCAGCCCCTAGGGCTACCACTATGATCGGGAGCGGTCATTGAGTCGACCGAGTCGCTGCCGAGTCGCCGCCGAGTCGCCGCCGAGCCGTCGCCCAGCCGTCGCCGAGCCGTCGCTCACGCCAATCACCGACCGACTCGATCCTCTCACGTGACCGACCGACGACGGGCGCCGACGACGATGACGACGACCACAACGACGACGACGACCACGACTCATCCCACCTCCACTCCCCCCCGCCCCACCTTCCCCCACCCCACCCCACCCCTCGCCCGCCCTCTACCATGCCCAACACACCCGTGGCCCCACGGCTAGACTTGGCCGTCAGCCTCGCCCTTGCTCTGGCTTGCTTGCTGGTCATGGTGGCCGCAGTGGGCGACGCTACTGCTGCTCCTCTGCCTGCTGGCTCGGCTTCACACTCTCGATCTCTTCCGCTCTCTACCAATAGCGGAGATGGTTCGGTGGGCGCGGCTTCGTACGGCCTGCCGCTGCCACCCGGTGGCTCGCCCGACTCTGCACAACGTGGCGGTGTCGAAGCCGACGCACCACCGCCGCCTCCGCTGGGGGCACCGCCTCCGCCTCCTGCGCCTGGAGCACCACCTGCACCACCGCCGCCGCCGCCATCGCCGCCTCCGCCTCCT